AGTTTTGTGCACAAAAGCAAGCTTTTTTCTGTACTAAGAATGTGGGGTTTGTGTACACAATCAAGGGATTTTTTGCACAAATTTGTTGCAGATAAGTCCTAAAAAATGCAAAAAGAAAAATCTAGCAGCAGTGTCTATTTTCCTGGGAACAAGAACATTGGCAAGTATGCTTTATATCCCTGGAACACAGATGGATGGAGACACACTTAAAAACCTCACACAGCCCTTCAGACAAGTTGTTCTAGCTCCAAGAAGGATGCAATTAATACCTCAAACCACATATTTTCTACAGTGACTAATGCCATTATTATAGAGGAGTATATCTGGTTTTCCACCTTCTTTGGCAGCCGTGCATCAAAATATAGTGTTACACGTTACATAATATTGTGATGCAGAGTTGCTGAACAAGGGGGATGCCACAATTTTTAACACTTCCGTATTACCTTTTCATATTTCATATTTCACCGTAATACAAGCATACACCATACGCAAAGACACAGGTATGGACCAAAAATACAAATAAATTTGAAGCAGAACAGCAGTAACTGAAACATAGAAGTTGGTGTGGACACATTCAGTGTGTTTAGCTGGGCAGCAATAGCTTTCCAGAATGCAGGTTAGATTAGTTTTTGATCCAAATCAATAAAGCAATGTTTAAATAGATTAAAGAAGAATATATATAGAGTATGGCATGGTATGGTCTTGGTTTTTCTCTAAAACAGCCCTGCAGAGCAGACCAGGGCTACTGTTCCTCTGTCTACATACATCCTGCATTTGGTAGAGCAAAGGTTAAAGAAACCGAGTCTTGCCCAAGGCAATTGTGCTAGTTCCCAGCTGAACAAGACTTGAACTCGCCTCATCTAGGCCAAAATACTCTGAAACGTGATGGACATACCAGCCAGGTGAGAGTTTAAGTGAGAAACGATGGGTTGGTTATGTTTGGCAGGTCAGCCAAGCCTGCGTCTGCACTGCAAAAATAATGCAGTTTGACACCACTTTAACTGCCATGGCTCAGTGCTATGGAATCCTGGGATTTATAGTTTTGTAGATATTGAGCTCCTCTGGTCAGAGAATGGATACCCACAGTTCATATTCTTCCCACCCCTTCTCTGGAGCAAAATCCTGAACGTTGCTGTGGTATGCAGCAAGGGCCTTTTGATATCCCCACCCCTTTTAAACCATAATAAATTAAAGTGCATTTTTAGTATTTGGCAATTGGGGGAATATTGAAAAATTCACATTTTGGAGGTGTGTACATACCCAGCAGGGCAAAAATAAGCTCCATCTTGGCAAAGTTGCCCTCCCTTAGACTGCAGCTCTCTGATTCTTGTCTTCTTCCCCCATCCCCACCAGCACCTGAGTATTCACAGATATACTGCTTCCGAATATGGAGGTTCCCCACATGGACAGCAAACATTCTGGTTTCCCCGTGAAGGGAGTTCTAGAGTTCTAGGGGCAACCACGGAGAAAACCCTGTCTCATGTTCCCACCATCCATACCTATGAAAGTGGTGGGACTCAAAGAAGGGATTTTATGGTCCAGGCACCAGCTGCCCCCCACTCAGTGAGTTTCCTGTCTGAGTGGAGATTCGAACCCAGACCTCCTGTGTCCCAGCTCAAGACTTCAAGCACCACACCGCATTGTGGGAAGCCCACAATCAGGACACAAATGCAATGGCACAGCTCTCATTCATATTCCCAAGTAACGGAGGGTCAGAGGCATGGATGGCGTGTGGTTGTCTTACCTGTCGCCCCGAATATCCCATCCATGGCTCTTCGCAGTAGGAGAACATCTCCCAGAGGGTGACGCCAAACATCCAGACATCGGAGGCGCTGGTGAAGACCCCCATGCGCAGGCTCTCTGGGGCACACCTGGGAGGCAGGAGAGATGGAGGACAAGGGGACCAATGAGGAGGACCATCCGGAAGCAAGAAGGATATTTATTTGGCAGAGTTTAGGGAGCAGGGGAGGTTTAGCTTGGAGAAGAGAAGATGGAGGTTGCATCTGCACTGCAGAAATAATGCAGTTTGACACTGCTTCAACTGCCATGTTATGGGATTCTGGGATTTGTAGTTTTGTGACTACAGACTTTGCCTTCTCTGTCAGAGAGCTCTGGTGCCACCACAAACTGCAAATCCCAGGATCCCATAGCATGGAGCCATGGCACTTAAAGCAGTATCAACTTGCATTATTTCTGCACTGCAGATGCAGCTTGGGAGGAGACATAATAGAATCATAGAATCATAGAGTTGGAAGAGACCCCAAGGGCCATCCAGTCCAACCCCATTCTGCCATGCAGGAACTCCCAATCAAAGCATCCCCGACAGATGGCCATCCAGCCTCTGCTTAAAGACCTCCAATAGCCATCTTCAAATATCTGAAGGGATGTCATGAAGAAGCCGTGATTCCCAAACTTATATCTTCCAGATGTTTTAGACTCCAGCTCCCAGAATTCCTGACAGTTGACCAAGCTGGCTGGGGCTTCTGGGAGTTGAAGTCCAAAACACCTGGAGAACCAATGTTTGGGAACCACTGGAGGGTGGAACGAACTTGTTCTCTGCTGCTCCAGAGACCAGAATGCAAACCCGGGGGGGGGGGGTTCGAATCACAAGAAAAGAGATTCCACCTAAAGCTTAGGAAGATCTTCTTGGTTGCAAAAGGTATTTGACAGTGGAATGGACTGCCTTGGCAAGTGATGGACAATTCCTTGAAAGTCTCCAAACAAAGATTGAGGGGCATTTTTCAGAAGTTGGGTATCCTTGCATGGCAGAACAAGGGGTTGGATTAGATGGCCCTTAGGGTCCCCTCTGACTCTATGATTTCTCTGAACAGATCTTGCCAAGAAAAGCCCCTGGTAGCTTTGCTTTAGGGCTGCCATACGTCCGAAATGTCTTTGCAGTCACACACAACAACCGTCAATCAACCTCCGCCACCAAACCAGATACATGCAGCATCCTTAAATGATGCAACCAGCCTTTGGGATTTGGGATATGCCAGTTTCACCCCCAGTTTTGCAGTAGATATTTTGGGAAACAAAACATCCTGGTACCCCTTTGACCCTGCAGCTTAGCTGGGCTGAGGAAAGCCAAGCGTGTTGCAAGACCTCGGCTCTTCTGCAAATAAATTAGGATTTAAGCCACTAGGGGGGAAGCAACGCTAGAACCAATCATCCCCATTGGGACTCGCTGCAAGATTTCTTCCCTTGGGTTAATCCCTAAATAGATTAAAATTGTTATGCAAAACTGGAGCACCTGGAAAAGAAGAAGAAGACCATCTTCCTTCCAAACCTTAGCTCCAGGTGGCTGATAGGAACCCACTTTGGGTCAAAATTTGCAAGAGATCCCAGGGCTAAAGCTATAAACCCACTCCTTGCCCTTAAACCTGAGTGACAGAGGGATTGTGTCTATTTCGGTTGTGAGAATCCACAGGAGGCTTATCCCAAATTTGTTTCCAAGGTGACCATATGAAAATTGTCATCCGTTGTGGGAGGAAATAAGAGTGTCTCACGTCATGTTCAGTTTACCTGTTGTGTAACAAACCACAAAACAGGAAGATAGAGTAGACACATAAACACCCGACATAGATGTATAGGCTATGGAAGAAGGCACTCTGCACATGCTCAGGGACACATCACACACCCTCCAACTGCCCCACTTTTTTTTACCTTCCCACTTTTTAAGCTGCTTTCCAAATGTCCCAGATTCTCTCTCATTTTCCCTCTTTCCTCCTTCGTTCTCAGCGTACTTCAATTGCTGCAAACTCGGCTCCAAGTGGAGAAAGAGTTTGGGCTCAAGTAATACAGTAAAGGAGAGAGGAGAGAAGCGGGCAGGATCATGTCCTCCCCAGTTGGCTCAGGCAAAAGCAAACTGCTGCAGCCTAGCCTATTTTGTCTGTCCTTCCTCATTCATCATTTTTGCCCTCTTGACCACATTCTGACATCTCTTTTGGCCACATGTTTTCATGTGTAAAATGTTCGAGGGTAAAATCCCAACAGTAACGAGCATGGTGCAGTGGTTTAAACGTTGGGCTAGGACTCTGGAGACCAGGGTTCAAGTCCCTGCTCAGCCATGGAAACCCAGTGGGCGACCCTGGGAAAGTCACACTCTCTCAGCCTCAAGGGGAAGTAAAGGCAACCCCCCTTTGAACAAATCTTGGCAAGAAAACCCCATGAAAAGTCCACCTTAGAGTTGTCAGAAGCTGGAAGCAACCTGAAGGCACTGAACAGCAACAGCAAACATGAACATAGCACACACATTGGAATAGAGACCTGGGTTCCCTTTACATTGGCTGCATCCACACTGCAGAAATAATCCAGTTTGACACTGCTTTAACTGCCCTGGCTCAATGCTAGGGAATCCTGGGAACTGTAGTTCTGTGAGACATTTAGCCTTCTCTGTCAGAGAGCTCTGGTGCCACAGCAAACTACAATTCCCAGGATTCCCTTGCACTGAATCAGGGCAGTAAAAGCATCCTCAAAGTGGATTATTTCTGTTTTGGACCCAAGTTTAACTGAGCCCTGGAATTAGGGAACAGAGGTCTTTAAAGCCCATAAAATCAAGAGGCATAAATAGCAGTAAAAGCTGGATTATTTCTGCAGTGTGTTTTGGACCTTGATCAAGCCTCTAGTCCTTATGGTTGTTGAAAGATCTCCTGCCCAAATCACTAACATGGAAATGGCTTATTCGACATATGCACATAGACTGGAAAACTGTCACGCCAGAGGAAGAGGAAAGAGCAGCTCAAAGATTCCCCCAACACAAACTTGGGTTCCGGGTTCGAGTCTCGTACCATGCGAATGGGATGCGTCGGTGGGCTGACATGATGTAGCGGTCACTCTTGCTGGACAGAGGCCGCATCAGGCCAAAGTCTCCAATCTTGGCATGCTCCTCTGAGGCCAGAAGGATGTTTCGGGCCGCCAGGTCGCGGTGGACAAAGAGTTTGGCTTCCAGGTAGGCCATGCCCTTGGCGATCTGTAGCGCGTAGCTCCAGAGCTGGTGGAGAGGGAACGGCGGCCGTAGGCGGTCGTACAGAGAGCCCAGCGGGGCCAGCTCAGTCACCTGCAAGGAGGAAAGGGCTAGTTACGGAGACTGAATTGTCTTGCACAACCTCATTGCAATGAATGCCCATCTTGCAAAGCAGTTTATTATTTTTTGAATGCATTCACAGAGGAGCTGAGGTCTTCAACATTCTCTGCTTTCATTCATCCATCATAGAATCATAGAATTGGAAGAGACCACAAGGGCCATCCAGTCCAACCCCCTGCCATGCAGGAACTCCCAATCAAAGCATCAATAGCAATAGCGCAGCTCCCATTAATTTGGAAGAGAGAGAGGTTCTCCTGCACAAGCCATCTCAATGTCAGGTGCGACATCACATTTTTATCCAGGTTTCTTCCATCACCTGTGTGACAGAGGAGCTCAGGTTTTGCAAAGAGGTGCAAGTTTCTTTGAAGGGTTGTTGTTGTTGTTGTTTCCGCCCCCCCCCCCCCCCCCCCCCCCATCTCTGGAAGTCCAATTTTTGCAAAGCTGATTTTAAAAATTTCTTCAGTGCAGACAAAATTTTTGTAAGGCATCCCTGTAAAATCAAGGGACTGGCTTTCTTGCAAGGCAGATGATTTTAAATATGTTTCCAGAGGAGCCGAGGGCTGCGTCTACACTACAGAATGAATGCAGCGTGACACCGCTTTAACTGTCATGGGTCAAAGATATGGGATTGTGGGGTTTGTATTTTTGTGAGACACTTAGCCTTCTTTGTCAGAGAGCTCTGGGGCCACAGCAAACTACAAATCCCAGGATTCCATAGAATGGAGCCGTGTCAAACTGCATTAATTCTGCCTCTTCACTGCAGAAATAATGCGCTTTGATGCTGCTTCAACTGCCATGGCTCCATGCTACGGAACCCTGGGATGTGTAGTTCGTTGTGGTGGCACCAGAGCTCTCTGGCAGGGAAGGCAAAAAGATCTTCCAAAACTACAAATCCCATAATCCCATAGCACGGCAGTTGAAGCGGTGTCAAACTGCATTTATTTCTGCAGTGCAGAACTGCTGCCGCTGCCTCCTCTTTTCCAGGCTAAAGATCCCCTGCAAATCCCTAAATATCCAAAATCTGCTTGCCATTTTGAGGGGCTGGGTGAGCACCACTCCATGGAGGCGGATGAGGTTGGGGTGATGGAGGCAGCACATGGCGTTGACTTCGTTGAGGAAATCGATCAGGGCCCCCGGATCGGAGGAGACGTCGGAACGGAGCGTTTTCACAGCCACAGGAATCTGGAGAAAGAGGACGGAAGGTGAAAAGGAGGCAGGAAGCAATATCTGCCTCTTGACCCTATGGGTTTCATATAGGTTTCTTAGGCAATGAATACCCAAAGGTGGTCCTGCCAGTTCCTCCTTCTGAATCATTGCCTGGGATTCTCTGGTGGTCTCCCATCCAAGGACTAACCAGGGCTGACCCTGCTTAGCTACCAAGATCAGATGGGATCTCACACCTTGTGTCTCTATCCCCTGAAGTCACCTATTGATTTATGGTGCCCCCATTAATTTCATAGGTTTTTTTTTAAAGGCAAGGAACCCAAATAGGTGGCTTTGACAGTTCCTTCCTCTAAAATAAAGGCTACAGTACTTGGTATTCCCTGGTGAGCTCCCATCCAAGTACTAGCCTAAGCTGACCCTGCTTAGCTTCTAAGATCTGGACAGGATCTGGGTGGACTTATAGCGATCCCATGAATTTCATAGGGTTTTCTTAAGCAAGGAATACTCCGAGGTGGTTTTGCTGGGGTAGGCAACCTTTCCCCTTTAAGGGCCGAGGGACTTCAGCTCCCAGAATCCCAGGAGCTATTGGCCAACATGGGACTATTGGCCAACATGGCTGAGGCTTCTGGGAGCTGAAGTCCCTCGGCCCTTAAAGGGGAAAGGTTGCCTACCTCGCTATATTCCCTCCAACTTTTTACAGATGTATACTGGGACCATTATGGCCAAGAATCACATGAGAGTTTGGTCCAAAAGGTGTGGCCAGATTTATTAAGGAAGAATATGTATTTCTTCATTAATTTATTTATGAAGGAAAGCATACAAAACTACTATTCTAATCAGAAAAAAAACCCCTCAAGTTTATATATGGTGTTTGGGAAGGGAAAGATTCTATTCCCTCCTCTTGTCTCTCCTGCTGAGTTAATGACATACCAATTACTTTTGTACTTCGAACTCAGTTTGCAGCAACAGAAGTAAGCTGAGGACAAAGGAAGGAGGAGAGAGGAAACTGGGACATTTTAAAAGCATCTGAAAAAAGTGGGATGGAAGAGGATTAATCAAGACTGTCGCTGTCAAATTGGGACAGCTGGGTGAACTTTGGCCATTCAGGTCTATAATTTCTTGGGTGATCTTTAGGCCATTCCCTAGTTATTGGCCTTACATACCTCACAGGGTTGTTGTGCAAATACAATTTAGCCATGACACCCATTGTGTAACCTGATGGGCCTAGCCCACATTGTAGCACCTTTGTGAAG